CAGTAGAGCAAAAATATTGGAGGTCATTTGAAACACTTCCTTCTCGAAGGACGGACCAACAGCATTCTGCTCGTTATTGATTATTACATACACACATACACGTGCAACCTGTTCCAAATCAGGTACTCTCTCACTCTTTCACTCTCTCTCACTCTTGGCCATTCTCTGTGCTGTGCAGTAAAAAAAAAAAAAAAACAACATAAGAGTAGGGAGTTGAAAGAGATGAAGGATCTTCAGACAATATTTCCCAGCACAAGACCTCTGGTGGAAGCAGGAGGAAAAGAATCCAAAGAGATAAAGAAAAATGAAGGATGAGGATGACATTTGCAGAAGAAGGTGGAGAAGCAGAGACCAGAAGAACGCCAAATGTTACAGAGCACTTGGAAGTGAAAGAATTTCACTTTTTAAACTAAGAGTCTTGGCTAAAGCAATTCATTAACATGCCACACCTAGCACCTCTGAGGACGAGAAGATGGAGGAGGATAAAGATAAAAATGGCTCAAAGAGATCCCCACAAGACTCCTAAAAAATGTTCCTGTTAAAAAGAAGACGAAGAAGACAAGGAAGATAAAGAACACTCTGGCAGCAGACACTTCCTCCCAATTCAACCCCATGTGCCCTCAATCTTTAAAACAGAGATACTTGCCACACAGATGAACTCTGAACTCCGGCTTTTGCTGGAAGCTCAGTGACACATGCCCGAGACTGAAATAAAGAAGAATATGTCTCAACAACCGACCGTGCGATAAAGCTATAAATCAGATTTAAAACTGTTATACTTTATCTTCCTGAGAGGAAAATGGACATGCAGGTGCAGGAGGGAAAACAGAGCCCTTGGCGCTAACTCACAGTATTTAGAGTGAGCAGTTCATATTTCTCTACTTCAAATTGTATGTCTGCTTGTTCATACTCCACCTTTCAACTTAATGTTTGACACAATAAAGACTAAATTCTTGGGGGAGTTGAAGGTCCAGTCTGTGCCGCTGACTGCCGTGTGCAGGTTGTGGGTGATCTACAGCGTGGTCTTTTTCCAGGCACTTTTACGGCCTGATCAATTGAGTGGTTAAATCAAAGGGCTTCAAAACAGTTAGGAAATACAAATGTCCTTCGTCAGTGGTCAGGGTAATGCAGACAGCTGCATTCTTAGACAGCCTGGTATCGATCCTTGTTTTTTCCCCCATTCTCAGCACTGTCACTCTGCACCAGTGACAGGGCTACGTATGTGAAATTTACAACTACTTGCTGGACTACACAAATACTGGAACTACTGTTGCAAATTAGCAGTTTCTGATGGTGGAAAGAAAAGGGAGAGACTTTTTTATTATTTCTTTTTTCTTTTTTAAGAAAGGGAAAGCTTAAGAGAAAAATACTTCCACTGAAAAAAATAGACAGTCTTCCTGATGAGATCAGCATAACTGGTGCATCCATTCCTCCATGTTAATGAAGTGCTTTGGTGATTGAGTCATCAACATCCATTATCTCCTAGATGTTATCTTACAGTTTTTTTCCCCTAAATTAATTCATTTTGGGAAGATGAATTACCAGGCCCTAAAGGAGTAATTCCCTGGGTACACACATATTTTCGAGTACTCGTATTTGAAGGACATACAATATATCGGCGTGGGTTTTGGCGCAACTCTACTTAATTTCCAAATCATTTTGAGTTCTAAAATGACCATGATTGAAAGTAGATGACACTCTGAGTAATTAAGTGATAAAAAATCACATTCCATCCCATGGTTCATGATGCCTTTTGACTAAAAATAGAAAGAATTTAAATGGAGGGCACATTAGCATAGCCATGCATGATCGTTCAACCTTTAAGAATTTTTTGCTCTGCTTTCAAATTTCAAGGGTTAGTGTTCTACTCTCGAAGTAGCAAAAAAGAATCATGGAGGAAATACTGCATCTACAAACAGGGTGACAGGTTTGAATTTTCAAGCAGGAAAAAGAGAATAAAAGAAAGGAAGAAAAACTACATCTGAATTATCCGCCGTCAGTGTTTATCAAAGATTGAACAGAAGTAGAAAGTAGAGATGCAACTGCATTTTTTTTTACATTTTACTGCTGCGACCCCTTAAAATCTTTTAGTTTTAGTTTTAAAAATACTTAGATACATGAGGTTTATTTCAGGACCATGGCCAGCTCCTGAGTGTTGATCATTCTTCTCCTTTATGTCAGAATGAAAGTAGAGATGCAACTGCATTTTTTTTTTTTTTTTTGGCTGATTCCAATTTTCAAGTGTAGTAAGTGTAAATTGCCAATACTGACTTTTGCCAATTACGATTTCAGTCAATTACAAGTAAAATGTTCTTCAAAACAAACATTTATTACAAATTAATTATGAAATTTACCACAATCTGCACTCAGTCACAGGTTCCCTGTGTTTTCAAAACAGCTTTCAAAATAAAGTGCTTGGAGACTGAAATAAAGCTCTAATATAAATAGGTTTCCAGTGCACTCAGCATTGCAACAAATAAAAGCTAGTGCAAGAGGTTTGCAAAACAAAACAATCTGCAATTATTGTCATTTATTATTTAGTATTATTTTTGATGTCTTACCTTTTCATTGTCTTGACATAAAATGTCCAAAAATTACAAAATTTAATAAAGTGTAAACTTTGTTTTTTTAAAGTATTAAGTGCAGGGGTAACAAGAAGGGCATTTAACTGCCAAGGAATTAATGGACAAAAAACGTAAGCATTGGCTTGTTTTTTTTTTGTGAGACAAGTAACTATCATAAAGAAACAAGCAACCAATTAAAAAGCCTCTCTGCTTTGTCACCTGACAGACGGCGTCTCTCTTCATCTAAAGCGAACACAACTTAAAAAGAACTCCTGTAACACTACATTTGGAGAACACGTCCAATATAAAGACATGTTAGCTTCAGCCTGTGAGTGTGAGCACCCTCTCCTGTACTCTGACACAGAATGTTGCTGCAAAAATGACAATACGCCTGCTGAGAACCAAACAATTCCAATGACTGGACGAATGATCGGTGCATCTTTGGTCAAAAGATGGAGCCACCGAGGAAGGAAACGAAAGATTTCCTTTCTGAGGCTTTCAAAACTGCTCTAGGATGTATCTGTGAAGATACAAAAGTGTAAAAGAGCACAAAGCCATTAGAGGAATTAGTTTAGTGCAAATGTAGCTGTGGAAATTTTGTGCCCCTGTTAAGTGAATTATCACAGCCTTAAATCTGTTAAACACAGCTGAACATTCCATCCGTCTTCTTGCAGCTCCTTCTCCGCTGCTGAGTTTAAATCTGTGCAGAATCTGATGGATGATGCACTCGCTAATGAGAACTGGATATGTCCACATTAAACCATCTTTCTAACGATAACTAATGACAGTAGCTTAGCTAACACAATTAACATTGGCGAGAAGTGAAAAAACGCCTCTGAATAAAATATTACGTAAATAATTAATTACCAAACAGACGAATGCAATCTTTCCCAGCTGCCCACTGGCACTCAAATGAGAACGACTTAGGAACCATGGAAAAAAGATAATTCTGACATAGTGGGAAATTGCCACTAAAAAATATTAATATAACACCTGCTCCGTGAGCAGTTCAGTAGAGACAATTTGCATTTAATATTAAACAGCAAATAAAGACAATTACCCACACTGTGCCAACATCTCCATTTTACGTGTAACGTGTAAAACACATACACAGTGATACCTCATTGTGTGTGGGATTAAACAAAAGAAAGAGCGAGTGAGCAATTACCAGATAAGCAGCAAGTGAGAGGTACGGACAAAGACAGAGACGGGGGAGTGGGGGAGTCTTATGTGTCAGGAAGAGAAACAGGTAAAGACACAGAAAATAATCTCTCAGATTCTGTGTCTCAGCTTAATGACACTGGAACCACATGGGAGACAAAGGAAACGCTTTGTGCAAGGTATGATGAATCCAGAGACAGATAACCTGAAGGCTTCCCACTTGCTGTCTGCGCACGCACACACACACACACACACACACACACACACACACACACACACACACAGAGACTCATGAGGAAAAAGACAACCTCAGACTCAGCTTTTTTGTTTACTAGAAAACTGAATGTGTGTGATTTTTTTCTTGCTGCTTATGTTTCTACCTTTGACCGCCTCAATTGGTTTCTGTCTTTTCCCTTCTCGGCAGGGCTTCAATATTTTATGCCAGTTCTTTTTCAGCCTATAGTCTAATTATCCAACACCAAATCCTTCAACTTGTCTTCTTGTTGTAACCGGGGACAATAAAACAATGCATCTGGTTGACTTTGACAGATGAAACCTACTCGATATGTGACTCTAACCTCCACAGGATGACAAGATGAGAAAGAAAAAGAGTGGGTTCAGGTGTTTGGGTGGCGATGGTGGTGTCGTTAAAAGTTAAAAGAAGAACAAAGTTAAAACCACGACTGTTAAGTTAGAACTGGTCAAATCACATAATGGAGGAAGTGTAAAAAAAAAAAAAATCAAATTTGCAACCGTTTCTCTCTTAAACAACTGGACTCCTGTAGACAAGTTGAATTCCTCCCAATACTGGACCCGATGTCATGGAGACTGTCCGCCAGCAGCCATCAACCACTTCCAATTAATTTTCTTTCAAAGCATTCTCTCAGAAAGCCTCGGGCAATGCAACTGAACTTCACCTGTTTCAAAAAACACACAGATGCCCCCGAACTAAACAGACCCCGGCACACACACACAACAGCAAGAGGGAGTTGTTAGGAACCCTGGTTGAGCTGCTGTCTGCTCAGCATGATAACGGCATGATTGATACCGACGTTCCCCAATTAGCCACCTGGCAAAATGTCCACAAAGTCACAGCGTATAAGAAGTGAAGCAACAATCAGAGTGGGAGAAAACAGAAGGACAAAGACACATACATGTACAACAATGTCTGAGTGTAGAAACAGAAATCCCTCACTCTTACACACAAGCAGATACAATCTGAATGAAGCTGCTAAAAATCCACACCAGCTCCGACACATTCAACCGTTAACTCACCTTCTCAGAGTGAGGCGCTGACAGCTCTAAATCTGGCCGTGGATAATCTTCTTTTTGTCCTCTCACACTCTCTGTGTCCCCTCTGGATACTCTGGCTCCCCCTGCGTGGCAGAACACGGGCCGCTCACCCTTCCTGTGGGGCTCGGCACAAGAGGAATCGATCTCTCGGCCAAGTGGTCCGCGGTCCTGCTGTTACCACGAGACTGTGAGGCTGTCCTCTGTTCCCCGCCGCTCACTCTCCCTCACACAGCTGCAGAAGGAAGTAAGACGATGGGCAACGTGTGAGAGTGTTGCTCCACTCTCTCTCCCCCTCACTCCCTCCCTCTCATTTTCACTGTCTCTCTCCTGCACTCTCCCCTCTCTCTCTATTTCTCTTGAGAGCTGAGATGCTCTCTCCCAGAATGTCAGCTGGGTACACAGGATGCTCACTCCTGCTATTGCTTCTCTCTGTCACTCACTCTTGATGAGCCAGTCGGCACAGTTATATCACCATTTTTATTAACTTTTTTTTTTTCTAACTCAAATCAATGATCTGTGTCAGTGTCTTTACTTGTGCGGCCTCTAGCGGCTGTCTGTTTTCCATGTGAAACAATTAATTGTACTCTATGCTTTTTTTAGACATGTTTTGACATGTGATTTTTAAAGGCTTTTACGGAAATTGTGCAGCTATAAATATGCATTGACGCCATTAGGTTCACGGAACCGGTCTGTTTCATGTATGTAAATACTTGATTATATATTAGATATATATATATGATAAAATCGAATAATACGGTTAAGTGCACAGTTTCCGATACTGCAGACGTCACGAGGTGAACTCGACACACAGCTGACACCAAAAACTGCACACAACACTGGAAACTTACCTGATAACAAATGAACATTTTTGTTACTCACTCCATCCATGCAGCGGTGTTATTGTGAGGCTGCATGATAATGCAGATAGGTGCAGAAAACAACAACAACTCAACTGCGTCCTTGCAGCCGCTGTTTCCTGTTCTCTGACTGTTCCGGGTTTCCCTAGTGGCCGTAGGTGGCACTGCTGCCAAAATGTGGACTACAATATTGCTGGGCCGAATGAATGATGCCACCAGTTGTCTGTAATGAAATAGTCGAATGCCTTTACAGTCCAATGACAAGATGCTGCCTTGGACTGTTGCCCATTGCTCTTATTAGAAACCGCTGCTGCACCGCTGAATAGTTAAGTGTTTTGCTGCATTCCATTGAGTTTCTGCAGAGTGACACTCTTGCTCATGCTCTATCCAACAAAAAGTACTCCTTGTTGAAAGATACAGTAGATGTACGTTTTCTAACATCATAACCTTTAATCTAGACATTTTTCTCAAATCTTATAGATTTCATCATGTCCTAAAAACTCTTGTGCCAAAAGCAACTGAAACGTCCTAATTTTTGTGGGTTCAATTATTCATCATGTTGTATGTCACCGTCAATAAGAAAATGGCGATAACATGATAGAGCCATCGTTGTGAATCTTGAATGAGTGTTTATTTTCCAGAAAGTTTTTTCCAGTGAATGGCAGCAGTCCTTTTTTTTTTCTTTTGCTTTCACAGCATATTCTTTAACAAATTACCAGGCAGTTTGGGAGATGCAGAATGAATCCAGCAGCACATCATGCAGACGGTGCTGTGGTTTGGAACAAGCAAGACTTAGGGGAAATTAGAATGGAGTTTATATAACTGCACTCAACTTCTACTAGGGCCTTGAACTTCTCCATAAAATATGCGCTCCTGCAAATCTTTTAAGATATTCTTATAAAGTGCATAAAAGTATAAAAAACAAACATGTATTGTAAGTCAAAATAGTCAAAAGTAGAATGAATGAATGAGAGAGAGAGAGAGACGGGGGGGCTTAAATATTTCTAATTGCAGCATTATCACTTCAGAGACAAAGTGCTGCCTAATTTATCAACTGCACGATTGTAAAAATGAAGCCATTTGGAAAGTGTCAAAAACTAAAGAGGCAAAACTTTATTTTGCATAAGTAAAGGATGTCTCTTGGTGCAGGAAAAAAAAAAAGAATCTCACCCACAGCAGCTGCATTTAAAAAAAATACACCTTGACGTAGCCAAGCCTTTTATTCTTTTGTCAGGTTGTGATAAAGGGAGGACACAGCAGGGAGACAGATGTTTATTCTTAGCCAGTCACATACACATGCACATGCAGGCACAAACACACAGACCGTACACACCACATGTGATGCACCAAAAATACCTCAGACTTTCTTAGACAAACAGAGAGGAGCGTAATTGTGGGTTTGTGTGGGAGAGAAGACTGGAGTGTGGGCAGAAATGAAGACGTCACAAGGCCTAGAATGAAATCCATAGGGTGCCATTATCTGGGTATACAATAAGAACTTGGACTTGTCTGTCACAGCTGACGAACACAGATTGGTCACTACGTAGCCTGACATCACCGTCATCACTGAGGCTAAAAGGAAATGTTTGAACCTATGAGGAACACACACAACACAATAAATACAAACAGCAAACATCAATATTCTCCTTCAAATCTGTCACATGACATTTGAATACATTTAAAATCTGAACATTTATGAAAGAATGAAACCACAACGTATCTCTAAGCAATCTATGGCCAGTCGAGACAATCCCATTTAAATGTGTTGGTATAAAAGCCAATGTAGCAAATAAATATAATAAAGAAACAAAGCCAAAGAAACTCTCTCTGTTTCCCAAAACATGCTGATTGCTATTCACTTTTCAAGTATCCTGGGGGAAATGTTAAAAAGTACAGAAAAAATGTTAGTTGCAGTTGTGAAGTGGTAATTGTAGCTGTAATATAGTTGTGTAGATAGATAGATAGATAGATAGATAGATAGATAGATAGATTCAGTTGAGGACCAACCTCTAAGGTGTTGTTACAGTGTGAGCTCTGAGTTTCCGGTGATGATGATAGAAAGGCTGACAGATAAGGTCAGGAAAGGAGTCTGTGACGATGGTGTGTATGCAGATGACACTGTAGTCTCTGGTAAGATTAGACAGAAAACAAATATGCCGAAGTAAAGGTCAGCAATGGAGAATCGGTTTATAAGCGAGACCCGATGTAATATATGGCTAGAGACAGTGGAGAAGCCAGCTGAGCTGGATCATTATTGTTATGATTGGAATTTGACATGGGTGAGCGGGTTTAGAAATGGAGACATCAGAGGACTAGCTAAGGTTGAACAGTTTGGAGATAAAAGTATAGAAAGACGGGGTGGAAATGAAGCTCTGGACCAGCATGAAAAGAGACAGAGGTTGAGACAGTGACATGGACATTGACACTGGACAAAAAGTCAGTGTAGAAAGATATTAGAAGAATTAATATAACAGAAACTACACTGTGGCAACCTGTGAAGAAAACAATGAATTGAGTGTGTGTTTATGATATTTAGAATAAAAGTGTGAACAGACCCAAACACAGCCCACTCCCAGATGTGTTTTTGCTCCTGGTTCTGACTTACAGCATTTCAAGTCTAAAGTTACGACACCTCTCTGTCTCAGCGTGAACCCAGAGACAAACAAACCTGTAAAACTTTATCAGTTGAACAAATTTGCCGCAGCACTGTCAAACAAATTGACACGGTGATGTATTGTGTTTTCTTCGCGGGCTCCAAACGATGTCCATGATTTCCAAAATAGCTACAGCTATGCTGATTATTTTGAGCAGCCATTTCCATGCAGAACGCAATAAAACAAGCTGTGCTGTGCAGAACTCAGCAGTCACTGCTGCTTCAGTGGCTTTCCAATTTATTTACCTCTCGCAGGGAGCATTTATGGAGAAATAAATGTGATGCCAATGACATTTTCTATATTGAATAGTCATCAATGCATTATTGTCATTTATGGGCCAGAGGAAGTGAAGTACTTCATGAAAATTTGATGATAAAGAATCATTTAGGTGACATGTAAATGAAGTGTTTGTGCAGTTGCCTCAGTTGCTCCCAGAATTCCTTTCCCTAGTATGTCTTATAATAAAACTAAAGATGTTTTATTTATTTCAGCTGCAGCATATAATTTTGAAGCAATACTTGACATTGAATACATTAGAAAATTAAATTTTATCAAACCATGTTTTTTAATCAATGCTATGTATATATTTTACATAAGAAGTTGTTGTGTTTGTTGTAGAAAAGCAGAAATTGAAAGAAAAAAAAACTCAGCATGTATAGGAAATGAAGAGCAGCACAAAGCTATAGTCTGGGAAACTAATTCCATTTTAAGATCACAATAGGATTCCAGACAGCACTATTCTTCCTGGGCAAGTGCAGCAAAAGCAGTAATCCTGTAATGCTGACTGAAGACCTTGGTTTATCATAAAACAGAGGCAAGGGTATTACAAAAGGAGAGGCCTGACAACCCCCACACCTCTGAATTACACGGCTCCATGTGCACCTTCGGAGGATCCGAGGTTGCTGGCTGGAGATAAAACCTGCCATAATCAGTGGAGCTGCCCCTTTGTTTCACTTTATACCTGGGTGTGCTGGTAATCCAATTAATGGCACTTTGGTCTTCATAGTCACTAATGAGGAATGGAGGTCTCCTATCCTCCCAGGGAGAAAGTATGTTTTCTGCTTCTTCATCTTGGTTATACAAAAGAAAGAAAGAAAGAAATGTTATGTATAAGAATACTGTAAAAACACTGTGCTAATGTGTCCAAATGCAGAGATTTGCTTCTAATCATGGATCACTTGTTGTTGTGATCAAGTCATCATGACCTTGAGGATTAATGAAGGATGGTGAAGGTGAAGACTTGACTGAGGGCGGATGCTTATTTGAGCAATGACTCACACAGTTTGGACAACCTCCAGCTGCAGTACAGACAAATGATCAACTCTGCAGGATGAGTGGGCATCCATTACTGTCAAGAAGTGAGTGCTGAGTACTGTGGTTCTTTTAGAGGAAATTTTAAAAATTGGAATGTTCAGAGCATCTGTCATGAGAGCAAACTGTCAAAGGAAAAAATAACATTTCTTTTATTTAATTTATGTATATTTCCTTCTTCTTCTGCTAATTAAACATCCAAAAGGATGAAATGTCATGTGTCTAAACATTTCTCCATGTTTTCTCCTAATTTTCCTTCACCAGCGTCAGGACAGGATCTGACTATTTGTCAGCTCTGAACAAGGAGGAAAGGCTTATGTAAGGTGTTTGGATGTTGGTGCGTCTTTTTTTTTTTGTTTGTTTGTTTTTTTTTGTCAAGAAAACTACCACAGAAGCAGAAAATTTAGAGTAAACCCATCTGCGTGTACCTCTGTTGTGGCTACTGCCTTTTACACACAGATAAACCATTTAAAGTCATGCTCCAACAAATTGATTTTCAAATTTTCACTTTTCCCGACTTATTGTAATCACAAGCTCTACAGTAAGAGAAGCAATCAAGACTTTAAAAAATAGGTTGCTTTCGAGACAGCTCCAATTTCACATAGAAGTCTTTTCATACAGTAAAAAGATCTGTCCAACAACAGGAGAGAATCAGATCTTATTCTCTAAGACGGAAGAGCAGAACAGATCTGTGCATTTCTTATTCAACGTCCATTCATAAACAAGACCGGATGATTAATAAAATAATACACACTTCTTAAATTATTAGCCACGTCTCGTAGCTCTAGTTGCCAAAAGATAAATGCACACACTGTTATTACCAGCACATTCGATGAGTGTGTGATTGTATTTAAAAGTAATAGAGAGTATATTGTAAATGAGGTAAATCATACAAAGTACAAAGAGATAAATATGACGACAAATCAAGTGAATGACACTGAAATGTGAAAGTGGGAAACCATGGAATTAAACTGCAACAACCTCAGAATGTGTAAATGTTGCACAGCGTGAGTAAGTGATTAAAAGTCAGATCGGTGTTCTGTATTTTTTTATAGATGTTTCTTTACTCTGGTCACGTCATTTCTTTATTGGGAGCATGTGTGCATCTGTGGGTGTGTGTCTCCATGTTGCTGGGTAAAGTAATACAAAGGAGAAAGCACTGAGCTTTTCAATCTGGTTTTCACTAATTGTTCCCTGGATGGAACCTAGTGATGGTTCACCTTCCCCCTTCATCCTGTTTGTTTTGTATACTACGACTGACTCTGTAGAGCATGGAAAACTCCTCCACTCAGACAGTACACTATTCATTCTGCCTAAGACTTGTTTCACTTCCACAGGGATACAAATGCAAAATTCCAGACCCATATTCTAATGAGTGAAGTCCCCCAGGGGTCAGTCCTCAGCCCAGTATCTCATGTATGCTCTCTACTGGCAAAGTCATGGCAGAGACTTATTCCACTAACCAGGCAGTGAACATTACAGCCTTCTGTATCGACCAGAGGGATAAAGTTTGAAAAAGAAAACAGCTTTCTTTAAATATCTCATAAAC